GATGTTCCAGTCAGAGTAAAAAAGCTGTCCCTATGATCACACTGGTGTAATTCTCTTAAGGGCCAAAAAGGTCAAAGAACAAAACAAAAAGCTTACATATCTAAATATATTGGCTTCAAAAAAGGGGCACGTAAAAAACAGGTGCCCAATAAAGGCAGGGTGTATGGGTGTGGGTGTGTGTTGGGGGAGGAAGGGAGCACACTTGTCTTTTGTCACAGGAATCTATTTCCCTTTAAAAAGTAAACAAAAAGCCATGTTTTCTTATGAAAAACTGATGCACTTTGCAATCAGCTTCAAGACAGTGACAAGTGAGGGGATAATAACAAACATAATGTATACAAAACATTAAAAAAAACAAATTAACTTGTATTCACTTTATATTCTCAAAGCCATTTAAGAAAAGGTGCTCATACCAAACACACTAGCAAATGCAATTAGCAAAGAGACCTACTTCTATTAACTCAATTACATTATATCCTTGGGAGTACAGCTTTTACTACAAAACACGTAAATTGGATAGAGTTAAGAAAAAGGAATCACCTTCTGCCTCACTGAATGTACATGCATTTTGAATATATATTCTGCCTAAGGGAGAGTTAAGCTTCAAAAGTACAGAATGAATGTTGAATAAATGACCTAGGATACAAGTTATCATTTCCATTATTACCTTACAGATAAGCTGGTGACATCTCCTGGGTGAGGAGAAAAATAATGGAAGGACAACTGGTTATAAATACCCTGTCCTCCTCTCATCACTATTAACTCAAAGGGCCAGTGTACAACTGCAAAATCTTTCTTCCTAAAGAACAGATTAATTACTTCAATTTAAGTAAATAAAATCTGTTTGTTACAGAGATTGATTACTGTCAACAAAGCTCCAGAAAAAAAACCCTAAAACTGTAGTAAACTTATACAGCAAATCCTCTCAATACAAATAGCCATATAATTTTTGAAACAAAGCATTTGTAGACAAGATTTCTCCTCTGCAAAAAAATTTTGACGTGTAAGAAAACCAAAGGTATAAAATATTTTCAGTATTGAATACATAATAAATGGAAATAAACAGTAACATGGAAAAATGTTAACTAGTAAAGCAAGTTTTTATTTAAAATATTTTTTTACCCACATTTTTAAGGGAGAGGGAAAGAAAACTGAGGTCAGAAAGAAAATTTATTATCCCCCCCAAAGCCCGTGAGAAAATAAAAATGCGTTTCTCAAATCAGGAATGCAGAATGCAATCTAACATGTTTGCTCACTTTTTCTGAGCCACACACTAATTTTTCAAGTACTCACAAAAGATTTAGGCTAGCTTTACTTATAAACCATACAATGCATTTTTAATTTTCCCATCAGCATCTTTAACCTCCCTATGCCTAAAAAATGAAAACTCAAAATCTGATTTTAAAATCCCTAGTTCTTTCCTTTCCCCCATCTGAAATTTTTAAGTCTAACTGATTTCATTTGTGGCCTTCCCAATTCTAATTGCAATACTTTATAAAAACAGAATTTGCATTCAAGTACTGTTGTTGCATGAGTTTCTTTTTCATGACAAAGGAAGTTTTTTTTAAATAAAAAACTTGTAGTAACTACTCTTTCCCATGGATGGACCCAGGATTCAGTTTGGAAACCTCTCTCCAGAGAGCAGTTTAAGACTTTAAGACCTCGGTTTTATGTGTAATCATCTCTAGCTTCAACGAAAGATTCTTAAGTATTGGAAACAACTGATAATTACGTCCTTTACGTGAGTGGTCCAACCTAGAAAGCACTCCCAACTTAAAAGAACTGTGAAGACACTTAGAGAATAGTCTGCCAATTCCTACCTACTCCCCTCTCCAGACAAAAAAATAAATCCAAAAACCAAAAAGAATGTCCAAAGTCAAAATATAAGCTAAAGATTAACTTGGCATAGAATTAAAATGCTCAATCTAAAGCATTCTAGCTTTAATCAACTAAGAAAATCTAGCACACGTAAATCCCAAATTTGTAACTAGCCAAATAAAAGTTCTCAGACTGACAAGCAAATTTTTTGAAATTTACTTTAAAAAAAATTTTTAATAGAATTCCTAAATAATCATTCAAAATTTCTAATTATCAGGAAATACATCTACTCTTAAGTCCAGTACCTTAACTTGACTAAATTAGTCAACATAAAATTTACAGCTTTTATCTAAATTGAAAAAATTTTTCCGCCAATCACATGGAAAAGGAAAATGTAATTCCTAACCACAAACAGAAATTATGATTAATTTGTTTTGGACAATGACAGGCCACAAAGGGGCAAAGCAAGTTGCCAAATTTTCAGAATTAAATCATCTGGCCCAAAAAAACGTGATGCATTTCAAAAACTGTATTTTTCTTAAGTCAAATTAGGTTTATAATAAGGCTAACAATTAGAGGAAGCAGCTTATTCCACACTAAGGAATAGCCCCTTTTCCTGCATGTTTGTACTGGTCTGATAAAAAAAACAATCAAACTTCCTAGTCATTATGCTGTCCATTTTAAACATCCCAGCTACCACACAGAAGCAATCTTTACTTAGGCCGGGAAGTTGAAAAGGCTAAAACTGAAGATAGACCAAGATAAGGGATCGAGTAAACCACGTTAAAAGAAAAAAAAATTATTTAGAATGTATCATCCTCAGCTAGTGGTCTCCAAGTTTTAAAAACGCAAATAGTTGAGATCTCCAACTACAGAGAAATGAACAAAAAACCTTTGTTAGAGATAATGACATAAGTGGAATTCTAGATTTGGAAGATTACAAATTATTGAAGCCAACATTAGAAACTTTTTAACAGAGAACTCCAAATTATCAGAGATTTTTAGATCAACATAAAAGTAAAGTGAGAAGCCTTTCAGAACTAATCAGAAAAACTCAAATTGTGTATGTTTTTAAATAGGATACACAAAGTGAAAATACTTCCAAATTTTTTTATAACCTCCTGTCATTTGAGTAAACATTTTAATTCAAAGAATGCAACTTTATTTAACCCTAAATATTGTGAGAACACATTTTCATTTTAATGTCTACGAAGGATTTCTTCTAAACAACTGTACTTAAGAAAAATAACCTTAAAAGAAATTTTTATAAATACTACTAAAACTTTTAATTTTACCAAAATATACCAAGGCAGAAAAAGCACATTATTTTTGAAATGTAACAAAATTGTTCCCATGTTAAAGAATGTGCTCACTGTTCGTAAATATATTTTCTAGAATACAGTAAGTCCACGAAATGACACATAAAATGACTTACTGTGATTTAAATTTCAACTAAATTTAATACAGATCTGCTTACTAAGTATGTTACACATTTTGCTCCAAACATTTCTCATGTTAAAAAAAAATAATAATAACTGGCGCCCCTTAGCGCTCACATTTGGAAATACTCAATTTAAGAGTTCCAGCAATTTTTTTTTTTTTTTTTTGACATTCCAGAAAGTTTTCGGCCTCCACAATCTTTCAAATGCCAACAAAAATAGCAAAAGCAGAACCCCTTAAAGGGATAGCTCAAGTTTTTTTCTGGAGCAATATGAAATTAAGAGATTTGCTGTTTCAACAGTGGAAAAAGCCCATTCCAATAAACCCTTATTGCTGTTATGTTTAACAAATGTAAGCAAAAGCGAGGACGCAGTAATACCTAACAGTTTCGTACTTTTAAAGTTGTTCCTATGACTTTTTTGACAACAAAAGCTCCTGGAATTCTTCTTTAACCATCTTTAATCACGGAGACATTTCCGGTCTTTTGTTCTTCAGTGACATTCTAACTCTCTAAGCTTCAGATTCTTTTTCCCCAGTTCTATAGTAAAGATCTCGAAATTCCTGTGAAAAATCTAAAATCCACTGTCAGTTCTGTAAGACACAGTTTTCGGCTTCCTTTTAACAGTCCTCCGGTATTGCCTCTAAGAGAAAAATAACTCCTGGCTACTCGATTTTCAAAATAAGACTTTTTCGTTGGTCGTTTTTTTCCTCTCAAGGCGTTCACACAAATGCATAGCTACTAGAATTTAATAGTCCAGTGCATTGCTACAAGAACTTGTTAAATTCCAGAGTTGGCCAAAATTAATTGTCTTGTCATTCTTCGCAATCAGTTCTCCACCAACAAAGATTTTTTGCAAACTTTTTACTCGTTTTTATTTTCGCCCTTCCAAAGTCTTGATTTCCTGTCCTACAACGTAAGGCAGCGGCGTCCTCGGGAAAAAGCTCTCCGCCGAAGTTCTCTCAAACTCGGGACTACGTTTAGATTTGTCCTCGCGGTATTTCGTATTCACACCCCCCCCCCGCCCAAAGTGAAGTTAAACTCCCGAACAGTTCTCGCTTCCCCAAACAAAAGGACAAAAAGTGCTTTCCGCTGTCATTTTGTCCTCGCCTTCGGCTAAATCAGCATTACTTTCGGTCTCCTATGGAATTCCTTTAAATTATCAAGCCCCACGCTACTCCCCTCGAGTATCTCCAACCTGCACAAACTCCAAAAAAGCAAAAGCCCCACTGGATCCTTCACTTTGGGAACCGGCGGCGTCCTCCGGGAGAGATCCCTCCGGGAGCCGCCCGGGGGCCGGTGTCCTTCAGGCGCCCGTGGGGCGCGGGGCAGGCGAGGCCGGGCTCCTCCCGGGCAGGCCCGCGAAGCTCAGGGCCGTCGCGGTGCTCGCAGGCGCGGCTGGAAGCCGGGGGCGCGAGAGGGCTCGCCCTGCAGCTTTCCCCGGCGCACCAAACTGGGCGCGGGCGGCTCGAGGCCCGGGGTCTCGGGTACGGGGTCCCGGGGGGGGGGGGGAACGTCCCGCCGGCGGGTCCCACCCGCGCCCCCGGCCCGCCCGCCGCCGCGCCCCGCGAGCCCGGCCTCGGCGCCGCCTCCATGCGCCCCGCCCGGGCCTCTCCGTCCCCGGGCGCACGGTCCCCGCCGGCCGCGACCTTCCCGCCCTCCCAACACGCCGGCGGGCGTCGGGTCCCGGGAAGAGGGGCCGCCGCCCGGGCGCGGGCCGCGAGGAGCCGACGAGGCGACTCACCTTCGTCCAGCAGCCGCTCGAGGTGGTTGAAGATCCCGCAGAAGTTGGGCAGGCTGCTCATGAGCTTCTTGTCGTTCATCAGCTGCATCAGGTAATCTGGGGTGGGCTTCGGCTTCTCCTTCGTTTCCATTTCCCCGACCATATTCCAGGCTCCGCAGCTCACTCCGCCCGCCGCCGCCGCCGCCGCCGCCGCCGCCGGAGAGGAGGGAGGGGCGGGGAGCCCCGGCCGCCGGCCGCTCGGGACTCGGCGTCCCGCTCCGCTCCGCTCCCGCGCCGGGCGCCGGGGCGGCCGGACCGCGCGCTCGCCGCGCTCTCCCCGCCCCCGCAGGCACTTTCCGCCCGCGGCCCGACGCGCTCCCGGCCCGCCGCCGCTCCTCGGCCGCCGGCTCGGCGCGTCCCTCACGAGGCCGGCGGGCGGGAGGCGGGTCTCCGCGGGCCGAGTGCGGGCGCGGGCCGCTCGGCGCCGGACGAGGAGGAGCCGGGCCGCCGCCGCTCGCTCGGCTGGTCGCGCCCGCTCAGCCGCCGCCGCCGCTTCTGCCGCGGGCTCGGGCTCTCTCTGGGCTGGTCCCCGCCGCGGCCGCCTCTGCCGCTGCCGCCGCGCTCTGACTCCGCTCCTCCTCTTCCTCCTCCTCCTCCTCGCCGCCTCCTCCTCCTCCTCCTCACGAATTTCTTCTAAACAACTGTACTTAAGAAAAAT